GCTCTTTCGAGAGTTCGTACAGGTGATATGTTTAAAGTTTTCGCGCCACATGTGAATGAAAAGGAAAAGACTAAGAATAAAATGATAAAAAATGTAGTCGCCGATGGCTTAGAATTCTTCTAATGCCTTATTGAACTTTTCACGGACATGTTTCACAACGCTATGCCACTGGCCTGGACATAAATACCCAGCGCCTTCGCCAACGTTTGCTTTAAAGTCGCCAAAGGCGAATATGTTACTTGATTCTAGCCTCTAAGACGCCTTTGGCGTATGTTACTTGATCTTCAGCCTCTCGGTCGCCGATGGCGGTAGGAATACTTGTACATATTTAAAAAAATAAAAAATACAAAAAAACATTAAAAAATAAAAATCCTAAAAATTTAAAAATTTCCTTAAAAAATTACAAAAAAATTTCTTATCCCAAAAAAAAAACAAAAAACTACAAAAAAATTCTTAAGAGAGAGAGACAGAATTCCAAAAATTAAAAACCCAAAAAAAATTCAAAAATTAAAAATCCTAAAAATGTAAAAATAAAATGAAAAATAACAAAAACATTTCTTATCCCCAAAAAAATAAAAAAACAAAAAAATTTCTTATACCAAAAAATGGTGTACAAGGTCTTCCACACCTGACAGGCCTCCCCGTGGCCGTACACCGGTAACTCCTGCTATAAAGGCTGTTGTGAGCCATGCAGTTGAGGCTAACTATAATAGTCACAACACTATTATGGAGTCAAAGTGGTCAACCCATAATATCCAACCCCTGCCAACAGATCCAAACAGATTATCTGATAAACATCGTAACTATTTTTTTAAATGAGGTAATTTGGTGGGTTCGCGCCAAGAATTGATGAATTTTATTACTGACAACGGTCAAGCTCTTTCAAATCCCAAAGAGCTCATTCATCGACTTATCTTAGCGCCGCACAATGATACAGTTAATGTAATCAATGAAAACGTGCTCAAAAACATTAAGACCAAGGAAAGAATATATTACTCGACGGATGAATCGAACGTTGAGTCGCCAATGGATTTTGATGAATGTGATCACGATGTTGAATCTTTAAATTTATTAAATCCTCCTGCAAGGGGTGGACAGATTTGGATTTAAGGGGTGGACAGATTTGGATGGGGTTTGCTCTGTAAAATCAAGCAAAAAATTAGGTATTTTTAGAGCAGAAATAATTTCGAAAAAATTCGAAACTGGAGGTGTAGGGGTCGAATTTTGAAAATTCGAAAATTTTTCGGTTTTTCGAAAAAATTTTGGGATTTTTGCCGGCGGTTCGAACCGAATGTATTTTTCCTGTATAGAGCAAAATTTTCTGCATAGAATAGGCTTTTAAAATTTTCAAAAAAGGTTAACTTTGAAAAAGTTATGATTTTTTGAAAATTTGGTCGATTTTTCGGCCAAAATTTTTGGCCAAAAAAATATTTTTTAAAAAATTGGTACAAATGGGGCAAATGATATATCAATCGAAAGCCCTTATTGCCCCGAGTCTAAAAATATTTTTTCCGAAATTTTCTGACCATTTGGCCAAAGTTACAAAAAGTCGAAATTTTGGGTGTTGTGGTACTCATATACTCATATCACCCCCAAAAGTTCATCCTAGACTCAAATGACCAACTACTTATAAGTTCCCCACATGCTGCCCTACAACATCACTCCCAGGCACGAAATCCCCCGGCCCTTCAAAAAACCGTTATAAGGCGTTGAAATTTTGAAAAGGCCATTTCGGTGCCACACTTGAGTGTGGCACCAAAATGACCATGCCCGTTGAATTCCCCATGGCCGATTACCTATTATCCCAATAATTTTTTGCCCCGTTTGGCCTTTTTTCGATTTTGACCATTTTTCCATGTACCCTTTTGTCGGAAAAAAGGCTGAAGCTTTTATTTTTTTAATTTTTTATTTTTTTTATTTTTTTAAAATACCTTAAAATTTAAATTTAATTTAATGGGGAACCCCTGGGTCTTTTGAACTGAGATTAGTTATATTAGGTAATCGGCCTCGGGGAATCCATTGGGCATGGTCATTTTGGTGCCGCACTTGAGTGTGGCACTGAAACGTCCTACGTCGGGAACTTTTCGGCCTTTTGGGCTTTAACTTGGGGATATAGGTAATCGACCTTGGGGAATTCAGATAGCATGGTCGTTTTGGTGCCACGCTTCAGTGTGGCACTGAAACGGTCGTTTTTTTCCAAAATACCCCTAAATTAATTTTGAATTAAATTTTTATATTTTTTTTGATTTTTAGCTAAAAAATTAAAATATTTTTATTCAAAAAATTATTCAATACAACTTCAACATAATTTTTATTTTTTCAAAAATTAAAATTTTTGACAACAACAACAAATTTGAATTATTTTTATTTTTTTCCAACAACAACAACATCCAAATTTTTCAACTATTCAACTCAACACCCTCAAATCTCTACAAACAAACTATTTTGGTTTGTTTTAATTTATAAATTTTTTTCAAAAAAAAAACTTTTTTATTTTTCAGGTGTTCTACAACAACTTTGGATGGAAAATTTGGAATTTTCCATTGTGGAAAATCTTTTTAAAGGAATGAAATCCCATGGACGTGGGTGAGCGACCTGTATGCCCACTGTGCGGAGGGGTCATGCCGGTTTTCTTCCAGAAATGGGCGGAGCCGGCATGATCGGGGATTGGGGCATGCCCGTTCCTCCTTTTTGGGGGGATGGGAAGCCTCCCCCTTCCTTCTGCACAGTGGGGCCGTACAACCACTGTGCGGAGGGGTCATGCCGGTTTTCTTCCAGAAATGGGCGGAGCCGGCATGATCGGGGATTGGGGCATGCCCGTTCCTCCTTTTTGGGGGGATGGGAAGCCTCCCCCTTCCTTCTGCACAGTGGGGCCGTACAACCACTGTGCGGAGGGGTCATGCCGGTTTTCTCCCAGAAATGGGCGGAGCCGGCATGATCGGGGATTGGGGCATGCCCGTTCCTCCTTTTTGGGGGGATGGGAAGCCTCCCCCTTCCTTCTGCACAGTGGGATAGTACAACCACTGGATGGACGGGTCATGCCGGTTTTTTCCCAGAAATGGGCTGAGCCGGCATGATCGGGGATTGGGACATGCCCGTTTCCCCTTTTAGGGTGATGGGAAGTCTCCCCCTTTCGTCTGTACAGTGGGACAACCTCTGTGCGGAAGGGTCATGCCGGTTTTTTCCCAGAAATGGGGAAAATCGGCATGATTTGGGGATTGGGACATGCCCGTTCCTCCGTTTGGGGGGATGGGAAGTCTCCCCCTTCCTTCTACACAGTGGGCAATGATTCACTCCGCCGTGCGGAGGGGTCATGCCGGTTTCTTCCCAGAAATGGGGGAAATCGGCGTGATCGGGGATTGGGACATGCCCGTTTCCCCTTTTGGGGGTATGGGAAGTCTCCCCCTTCCCTCTTCACAAAAAGGGGCCTATCCATGACCTCGTCTGCATTAGAAACACAGCGAGGCATGGAAGTGTCCTCTTAAAACCCCGTCCTGTGGAAAAACCTGTATACATTAGGTTTCGGGTCCTAGCCACAAGAAGGCCCACAGGATGGGGTAAAATAAACGTGGGGCACCAATACTTGGGGGAAAAGAACCCCGGGTATTGATGCTTCACTGTGCGGAGGGGTCATGCCCAAATTTTTCAAAAACTTTTGAATGCCAATGGTTTTGGGTGACCCATTAAAACCCTAATTACCTCATTTAAAAAAATAATTTTTTTAATCAATATTTGGTTTTTTAACCTTATATTTTGGTTTTTGGTCATCCATCAAAACCCAATTTGAATGCTTTTGAATGGTTTTGGGTGACCCATTAAAACCCTTATTCCCTCATTTAAAAAAAAATTTTTTTCATCAATATTCGGTTTTTAAACCTTATATTTTGGTTTTGGGTTATCCATTAAAACCCTGATTGATTTATTTGAATGTTATGGTTTTGGGTAAGTAGCCTTAGGCATGGAAGCCAGTGAGGGCGATCCATTAAAACCCTAAGTCGCATTACTCTGAGTCACTTCTCAGGTTATTGCGCACGAGCATTGCAAACTTGCAGCCCTCAAATTGCTGGATATGGCTCACTTCGTGGACCGAGGTAGGACGGGAAAGGCTGCAAGCCAAGTACCATCACCGCCCGGAGCGTCCCAGTGCTTTTGAGGGCACCAAAGGTCGGCTCAAGACTGTTTCCCCTATATGGGGGTATGGTGTATTGTCCCTTTGGGCAAAGTTTGCCAGACCCCTGGGCCACCTTCCCAGGACTGTAGTTCGTCCATATAGTGGGGGTCATGGATAGTTTATCCCACTGCGTTAGCATGGTTACTCGGTGCGTGAACTTAACACTCACGACCACATCATGCGGCGGAAGTGGTACGCAAAGATAGTCACGTTATGCGGCGTGATGGCTATCCTAACGGCTCTGTTCGAGCGGAGTACGCTTTTGCCTACTACGCCTAGCAACGGCTAAGGACCGCACTGCTGGGTTAAACTCGAATAACCGTAAATGGCCCGTGATAAATCCGAGGGCTGAACGATGTGTCAGACGACCGTTTCGGCTTTTGCTGATACACCCATTTTGGGGAGGAAGTCTCACTCCCGTTCAGTTTCCGGTCCCTAAGCTCTGCAGAGCCACTATATGTAGCCTACTGGTGGCTTCTGCCATTGGTTTGGCTGGACCTGGATTAGGAGGGGCACCCGTATGGACTCTCCGCTTCTAATCTAGGGGCCTAACACAGGTCTGTGCGGACGGGTCATGCCCAAATTTTTTTTGGGTCTGCCCTTACAAGCAGCTTGTGGGGGGTCCTGATGAAAAGAAGTGGCCCATGCGGCTTTCCGCTCCTTATTCAGGGGCCAAAAACAACGTAGGATAGAGGGGTGCTGCCAAAATTTTTTTTGATAGCCCCCTATAACTGCCTGTTTTTGACCCTGAGCCAGGTACTAGCCGGCAAACTATATTTTGGTTCTGTGCTGGGGTGACCGGACGGTCAACGCTTAACCCCTGAGGGGGATGTTTTTAGCGCGGCAATTTGGAAACAGCAATTACCGAGATGTAGGGAGTGATCAATGTGTGGAAGCGGTTTGGTTGTGGGGTCTTTTTCATATCGCCATGTCTAATTATAAATTCATGGTACTCTATTTCGGTAGAGGTTGGATCTGATACTCACATAAAGGGCTCCACCAGTTTTCCAAATTCAGATAATATATGGTACACAAGGATCTCATTATCCTCCGTAAACGTCCACGTCGTGTGTGCTGGGCTCTGGACTTTTTGTCTGGGGGCGAACTCTGGCTTGTCTGGAGGCGCGGTTAAAAATGAGCTGCAATTAGATTAAAAATTCATTGCAGAAAAATTATTTAAAATTTTAAAACTCTGTAAATATTAAAGCTTCGCCTGTACTACGCTAAATAAATTTGAGTCGCTGTTGTTAAATATGAAGAATTGAAAACTGAGTCGCGTTGTTTGTAAATATGACGAATTGAAAACTGAGTCGCTGTTGTTTGTAAATATTTAAATTGGAATCTGAGTCGCTGTTGTTTGTAAAAATATTAATTGAAATGATTTTCTGTACTCGCTAAATAAATTTGAGTCGCTGTTGTCAAGAATTATATGAATTTGAAATTTAAATGTATTATAAAATTGAGTCGATGTTTTCTAATAAATCTATTAAATATTAATAAAACTTGTCTATATATTTGAGTCGCTGTTGTTAATAATTGTATGTGTTACCTGTACCACGCTAATGAACTTGAGTCGCTGTTGTTAAATATGAAGAGTTGGAAACTGAGTCGCTGTTGTTGTAATTATATGAATTGAAATCTGAGTCGCCGTTGTTTGTAACTATATGAATTGAAATGATTTTCTGTACTACGCTAAATAAATTTGAGTCGCTGTTGTCATGAATTATATGAATTTGAAATTAAAATTAATTATAAAATTGAGTCGCTGTTTTCTAACAAATCTATTAAATATTAATAAAACTTGTCTATAAATTTGAGTCGCTGTTGTTAATAATTTTATGAGTTGAAAAGAAATATTTCTACGGTTATAGCTATGAATCATGCTTTTTACACGATTTTGCTTTACACGATTTTGCTTTACTCTAATTTCGTTTACACGATTATGCTTTTCACCAAATTTTGCTTTATCTCATTACTACGCTTCACTCACGATTATGAAAATTTTTACGGTCGCGCGGTTTTTTTGTCTGGACGGGGTAAAGAATGGAATAATCCAAATATCTGTTTTTGGAGAGACAGATCGTAACTTAGCCTCTTAGCTGTCTTTTGATAGAAACTTAGCCTCTTAGCTGTCTTCTGACAGATGATCCGAAAGGCTTTTACGCCTAAATATTTTGTAACTTAGCCTCTCAGATGTGTTTTTACACATTAGTCGGTGCACGAGGTTTCTCATTTGTCCTACGCAAACGTCCTCGTCGTGTGCACTGGGGAATCCGGATCGTTGAAATATATACTTTCCGGATTCGCGAACTCTTGACATTATTGTACCCCGTGAATAATGTCTTGAGGTGCGGATTAAAAATGAGGGGGATTCCTCCGTCCCCTAATTTTTGGAACCTTTCCATGCGGGCGGATTCCCAAAAGGTCTCCGCATCCTCCAACCGCAACCTTTACCACGGCCGGACAGAAAAACATGAAATATATTATGCCAGATAAACAACGCTCCAAACGACTAAGAAAGCGAGAACGCAGATCTAACCCAAACAGCTCTCTTCAGAGCTCTGACCAGTCTGTCCAACCAGAGCAGACTGATCCGATTATCGATCTGGGAACTCAAAACTGTCCTCTTCAGGGCAATGATCAGTCTGTGCAGCAGGAGCAGTCTGAACATTATACACGTCCGCACATCCAAAACACTTTCATGGATGTTGAACAAATAATTGATAATGAATGCAGCCCTGGGAAGCCTTCGAGCTCGGGCAGATTTACATTTAGTACACAAGATATTATGGATAATGCCAATATTGAAAGCCTTGTGGAACCGCTCACTCCTTTGAGCATCTCTTCGGAGGTTTGTGTTCCCAGAAAATCTCGAAAAACACGCGACTCTTCTATTGAGTCTATGGATACACAAAGTATAGCTTCATCAATTTCTTTTACATCTAATTATTCATCTAGAGCTACTTCACCTGAAAGTTTATCATCAAATAAGAAACTCGGTCGTCCAAAGAATACCCGAAAGGGTGTTGGTGGAAGACCCAGAAAAACAAATACTCCTACTACTGCTCAAAATATACTGAACGAACATGACATACCGAATAATGCTATGAATATTGACTTCTCTACGCTGAACACTCTTGACTTTGCTGTTACTAGGACTAATGATAGAACTTCCATTTGCCGCAGAGCAGCTATGCCTCTTTATGAAAGAGATGATGATAATAGGGGCCCTCGCGGCATTGAAGTATTATGGAATAAGCTCTCTGAATGGCCAAATGAAAGTTTTATTTTCGCCTATCTATGCTATTTAGCCAAAGTTTCTGGCAAAAAGGTGATTGTTGTTGATCCGGTTGTAACGGATCCACTTCACTTTCAATTAGAAGATATAAACTACACTGATTTCTCTTATCAAACTGAGCAGGAAGGAGATGTACAAATTGTACTTCTTCCTGTTCATTTACCTGCACATTGGACTATCATTATCTTTGACCGTGAGTTCGGATTTTATTTTTTCGACTCGCTGCCAACAGATCCAAACAGATTATCTGATAAACATCGTAACTATCACCCTGATAGAATGCCGAAACTTATGCATATTCTTTCTCAATTGACCAACAGATCCTCGGATTTAATACATTTGGGAACATATGCCACAAATGAATACACCCTTCAGCGTGACGGTGATAGTTGCGGATATTTCATTTGCCTCTATGCTGAAGCGTGGTTATTCAATAACAGGAATCTTAAATTAAATAATTTCAATATTAATACTGAAAAGAAAAGGATTTTGTGGCATTTGAACCAGTTGTATTCCGGGGATAATGTTGAGTATCACCCGAGAAATGAACACGACCAAGCTCATATACGCCGATTAAGTCCAATTCATAACTTGCCAACTACAAGTCTTTCAACTCCTAGAATGCCAACGAGAGCTTCTACGCGAGCTTCAAGTAATTTAACGCCAGGATTGTCTAATATTGCAATTGCTACTCCGAAAGGAGAACGAGTTCTTCCTATTTCACAACGTTGTCGGACAAAACATAAAGGGATTGGCTGTGCCTCCTTTAAATCAGGTCATTTCCCAGAATATTACAATTCTGGTCAGTTTGGGAATAAAACTTGTCAGCATTGCGATAATAGACTTCTTCGTGAGGAAAAATGTTTATCTTGTACGGATGGTCGAGTTCGATTAGATCCGCTTAAAGAATACCCACATGACTACATAAGGCTTGTAACTGGTAAATCAATGGATTCTAAGGAATACATCAGAGACCAATCAAAATATAACACGTTGTTTGCTTTTGGATCACTTTCAGTAGGTCGTCAAAATGCACCGACTGGTGGACCAATGCCTGTTTTACTGAATGGTGAATTCGCTAGACGGATTGGGAGTTTGACCGCAGCCGATCACCAGATTCCATCTTTTGATCAGTTGTACATATTGGATTCTAAGGACGCTACAGAATATCGCATGAATAATACGAGCTTTGATGATTGGAATAAAAAAAATCCTCATTTGTTCCACGTCCTTGATGAATTAATTCGTGCTTATCATCCGATGGCCGAAATTCTTAAAAACTCTTATGAGTTTTACAAGGACATTGAACAAAACTCACCAGAGAACCTTAAAAACTTTAAGGTTATTTTGGTCGAAGATAAAAATGCTCCTGCTGCTATTCAAGATCCAAATTTACATCCACGTCAAGTGAATCTGCCTACACATGATGAGTCCACTGTTTTTGCGATTTGGTCTTCCAATACTGATGAGCCTCCGCCGCTCAGAGGTATTTGGATTACTAAAAAAGGAAATGTCACAGATTTATGGTCAAATCATCCTATGACTGATTCAATACTCTACCCTTGCATGTTTTTGCTTGGGGACGAGGGTTATTCAACAGAAATACCGTATATTAAGATAGCTAGAAAACCGAATAATGCTAAAGAAGATTTTGATAACGACAAATCGGAAACCGGTTCCATTGCTGAAAGCGATTGTGGGTCTGTTGATATTTATGGTGACGAGCCTAGCCGTGCTCGTCCCAATCTATCGTTTAGAGCTTTTTATCGTTATCGCTTTGGAATTCGGTACCCGGAAAATGAAACTTACCATCATATTTGGAGTACTGGTGGCGGATTAGGACAAAAATTTGCTCTTGATATTGCTGCTCGAATTGATTCGCAAGTATTTGAATACTTACGTCAGCCAGATATGGATTTAAGATGTGAAGTTGTACCTGAACTATTAGACTATTTTGCTAAACATGCTGGCAAATCCTCCGCAAATAAAGTAGGACATGTAGTTCTCTTTAGAAGTTATATGCCTGGCTTTAGGGCATACTTTAAGAAAAATTATAAGTCAGCGTGCACGATTATTAATCGTAAACGCAAGCGAGGATGCGCCATGTTCATGTTTACGTTCACCTCCAATCCAAACTGGCCTGAAATGAAGAATGAACTTTACCCCAACGGTCAATCATTGATTGATCGGCCTGACATTGTCATGCGTTATTACGCGGACAAAGTTAGGGAGGTACACAAGGACTTGAATGAAAGGGAAATATTTGGAAAGCAATTAGGGTACGCAGAAAGTATGGAGTTTCAGAAAAGGGGTGGTCCTCACTTCCACAGAGTGATGGCAACCGATATTCCCGCTATACCTGAAATTATTGAAGGATATATTTTTGCTCATATTCCGCCGCTACCAGATATAGATGATAAAAGTCCACGTGCCGAAGGTTTAAGACGCCTTCGAGGTCTTGTAATTAAACATCAGCTTCATGATTGTAAGCCTGATTATTGTGGGAAAAAGAATAAAAATGGGAAATGTTCTAAATTCTTCCCTTATGACTACATGGACAAGACGATTCTTTATGACGATCAGCCAGCCGTCCATTATCGACCAAGTCCCGAGGATGGGGGTGAAAAAGTATTGATACCGAAGGGTGGGGTGCTCACTGAGTATACCAATGCTCACGTGACGCCGTACAATCCGTTTATACTAATGAAGTATGAGACACACCACAATGTAGCTTATTGCTACGGTGAAAAGACTAATATGAAATATACTATGAAGTACCCACTAAAGGGACCCACCTTTCAATACATTCAAGTCCAAGGTGACATGGTCGATATTGACGAGCCTGCGCACTATGCACAGATGTATTACCGCTCTGCTAATGAAGCATATGCAAGAATTCATTCGATGCCATATGTACGACTTTCCAATACAGTTTACGCGATGGAAATACACTTGCCAGGTCATCAAAACGTCGTTTTTAAGCAAAGTCAAGCTGCAGCAGTTGCTGCTGGACTACCAGGAAAATTACCTAAAACCATGCTCACTGAGTACTGGTCGCAATGGAAAGAAGAAAAGTCGTGGCAATTTATTAATAAAAAATGGACTCTTGTAGATGATGATTCAATAAAGACGACGCTTTATGAACACATGCCAGAAAATTATTGGTTTGATAAGGACGGAAAAATGTGGAAAAAACGATTGCGAAAAAGGGATGTAATAGGACTGATTCATCCGAGACCATCTCCTCGGGATCAAGAGAGGTTTGCACTTTATATACTTCTCCGCCATTTTCCTGGCGATCCAGAGGCATTAAAGAACGTTAACGGAGTAATGTGCACAACATTTGTTGAGTCTGCCAGATTGAGAGGTCTACTTTCTGACGATTCTGTATGGGAAAGAACATTGGCGGAGGCCTCGCATTTCGGCACAGCCAGCGCAATGCGATACCTGTTTGTACAGGTTTTGGTCTTTGGAAATCCGAGCAATGCTCGCGAATTGTGGGAAAGATTTGTGGATCACATGTTTAGGCCAGTAGTGGGCAATGATCCAGATGGGATTGAAAGAAAGAGACGTATTGATCGGGTATTGGCCATCATAGAAGCACAGCTTTCGGACTATGGAATGTCAAACCAACAATTTGGACTGGATTCTCCATCCCCCGGGATGCGACAAGACATAGATGAAGCACTCGATAACTTCTTCTTTGGAGACAAAGATGAAGATGACTTTGCAAGCGGTAAAAAGTTCACGATAAAGCTCAATGATGACCAAGAAAATGTTTGGAATACCGTTCAAAATGCCATCAACGGAACTTCATCCAACACTATCTTCGTAACAGGAGATGGTGGAACAGGAAAGACTTATCTATTTAATGCTATAATTTCACGCTTAAGAGACATGCGCATCCGTGTAATTGCTTCGGCATATACTGGCTGCGCAGCGACACTTCTGACTGGTGGTGCTACCGTTCATTCGGTTTTCAGATTTGGTATTAATATTGACGAAGATTACACCCCGTCAGTGTCAATGCAAAGCTTCCACGGAAAGCGTATTAGTGACAGTCAAGTTATCATTATTGATGAAGTTTCTATGCTTCCTAAGCATATGTTGGAGGCAATTGATCGAGTCTGTAAACAAATGTGTCCTCAAAATATGAATCATCTTCCATTCGGCGGAAAGGTTATAATTCTTAGCGGAGACTTCAAGCAATCACTGCCAGTGGTTGCTGGAGGTGGGATGAGAGATCAAGTAAATGCTTGCATACAGTCTTCACAATTGTGGCCGCTTTTTAGACAAAATATAATTACGCTGAATATCAACATGCGTCAGGGACAAAATGAAATTCAGTTCACTGATTGGTTGCGAAGAATTGGAAACGGCGAATTAAATAAGGAAGTCGAGATTGAAAGTAGGAATTTGGTGGGTTCGCGCCAAGAATTGATGAATTTTATTACTGACAACGGTCAAGCTCTTTCAAATCCCAAAGAGCTCATTCATCGACTTATCTTAGCGCCGCACAATGATACAGTTAATGTAATCAATGAAAACGTGCTCAAAAACATTAAGACCAAGGAAAGAATATATTACTCGACGGATGAATCGAACGTTGAGTCGCCAATGGATTTTGATGAATGTGATCACGATGTTGAATCTTTAAATTTATTAAATCCTCCTGCAATTCCACCACACCGGTTGCACCTCAAAGAAGGGTGTATTATAATTCTTTTAAAGAATTTGGGAGTAAGTAGAGGGCTTGTGAACGGCACAAGGATGATTGTAAAAGGATTAGGGGATGATATTTTGAAGGTTGAGGTTGTAACCGGTTCTGTGGCTGGATCCGGAAATATTATTTGCCTTTCACGTGTTTGGTGCGATTATGAAGACAATAGACCAGATGGAGTTAAGTTCAGACGGTTGCAGTTTCCTGTTCGTCTTGCATATGCAATGACGATCATGAAGGCCCAAGGCCAGACTGCAACGCGAGTTGGACTCGACCTCACACATCAAGTGTTTGGTCATGGTAATTTATATACAGCTCTTTCGAGAGTTCGTACAGGTGATATGTTTAAAGTTTTCGCGCCACATGTGAATGAAAAGGAAAAGACTAAGAATAAAATGATAAAAAATGTAGTCGCCGATGGCTTAGAATTCTTCTAATGCCTTATTGAACTTTTCACGGACATGTTTCACAACGCTATGCCACTGGCCTGGACATAAATACCCAGCGCCTTCGCCAACGTTTGCTTTAAAGTCGCCAAAGGCGAATATGTTACTTGATTCTAGCCTCTAAGACGCCTTTGGCGTATGTTACTTGATCTTCAGCCTCTCGGTCGCCGATGGCGGTAGGAATACTTGTACATATTTAAAAAAATAAAAAATACAAAAAAACATTAAAAAATAAAAATCCTAAAAATTTAAAAATTTCCTTAAAAAATTACAAAAAAATTTCTTATCCCAAAAAAAAAACAAAAAACTACAAAAAAATTCTTAAGAGAGAGAGACAGAATTCCAAAAATTAAAAACCCAAAAAAAATTCAAAAATTAAAAATCCTAAAAATGTAAAAATAAAATGAAAAATAACAAAAACATTTCTTATCCCCAAAAAAATAAAAAAACAAAAAAATTTCTTATACCAAAAAATGGTGTACAAGGTCTTCCACACCTGACAGGCCTCCCCGTGGCCGTACACCGGTAACTCCTGCTATAAAGGCTGTTGTGAGCCATGCAGTTGAGGCTAACTATAATAGTCACAACACTATTATGGAGTCAAAGTGGTCAACCCATAATATCCAACCCCTGTAACTTTGTCAAATTTACCCCGAAATTTTTACAAAAAATATTTTTAGACTCAGCTCGATAAGGGCTTTCAAATGATATATAATTTGCCCCACTTATCTTTCTTTTTGGAGAAATACTTTTTTGGCCGAAAATTTTGGCCAAAAAAAAACACCAAAATTTTTAAAAATTCATATCTTTTTTAAATACCCTTTATTGACTCATTTTAAAGTTCTATTCTGCGTAGAAAAATCTACTCTATCCGATAAAAATACTTCCATCTTTAACCGCAATCGAAAATCCGGAAAAATTTCGAAAAACCGAAAATTTTTGAAATTTTTGAAAATCGACCCCTACATCCCCAGCTTCGGGGTTATGTGGATTTTCTGCATCTCAAAAAATTTCTAATTTTTATTATTATTTTATAAAACAAACCCGACCAGGAAATCTTAATCCTTTCCAAAGTTATGACCATTTAAATATTTCCAAATATTTTTCATAAGGGGTACCCCTTTGGAAAAAATCGGGGGTACAAAATTTTCGAATCTTGACTCAAATAACGTGTTATATAGTGGAACAGCACACGCTGAGTCTGAATCCGTTGTTCAAATAATTTTAAAAAATTTTCCCGGGCAATTAGAGTCTCAAACACATCTCAGTCCCACACAACTTTTGGCCCTTATCTCACTCAGACTCAAGTGGAAACCCAACAGAGTATATATTTTTCGCTGATTAGAGGCTGCTTTAAAAGAATATCTGAGTATGTTTCAATAATCACGCTTCTTCAGCTACTCCACCTGTAAGCACCCCCACCGCTGATTATTCAAACCTCTATAACTTGGTCAAATTTGGACCGAGATTTTTATTAAAAATATTTTTAAATTCATCTCGATAAGGGCTTTCGAATGATATATAATTTGCCCCACTTATCTTTATTTTTGGAGAAATAATTTTTTGGCCGAAAATTTTGGCCGAAAAATTCTCCAAATTTTTTGAAAATTCATATCTTTTTTTAAATACCCTCTATTGACTATTTTAAAGTTCTATTCTACGTAGAAAAATCTACTCTATCCGATAAAAATACACACATCTTTAACCGCAATCGAAAATCCGCAAAAATTTTCGAAAAACCGAAAATTTTTGAAATTTTTGAAAATCGACCCCTACGTCCCCAGCTTTGGGGTTACATGGATTTTCTACATCTCAAAAAATTTCTAATTGTTAGTATTATTTTATAAAACAAACCCCACCAATAAATCTTTTCCCCTTCCAAAGTTATGACTATTTAAAAATTTCTAAATATTTTTCATAAGGGGTACCCCTTTGGAAAAAATCGGGGGTACAAAATTTTCGAATTTTGACTCAAAAAACGTGTTATGTAGTGGATAAGCTTGCGCAGAGCACGAATCCGGTGTCGGAAAAATTCTAAAAAATTTCCTAGGGACATTAGAGTCTCAAACAAATTCCATTCCCACTAAAATTTTTACAACTTTTTACCATTATCTAACGAAGACTCAAGTGAAACCCGAACAAAGTATATATTTTTCGAACAATCAGAAGACGCTCTAAAGGAATATAAACGTATCTTACGTATATCTCCAAGCAAAAAACAAAATCTAGCGTCCTTTTAAAGCCGCAGGCTTTCCTCGCGCGTCCCTGGACGCGCCCCCAAGCGATTCTCACCGGTCCAGAAATGTAACCAAACGCTCCCCCCAGTGTAACCAAACCCAAAAGCTACACGCCCATTCAGCTACTCACCCTGCAGCTAGTTAATAATATAAAATATCAAGGCAACTCAGTTTTTAAAAACTCATAACTGCCGGCCGAAGGCCGGCACGGATTTGGAAGTTGTGGAAGGGTCCTACAACTTTTTGAGGGGTATTTAGGAAAAATATAACCGCGGCGCCACAACTTTGTCTTTGCGCCGAAAAGACCCCCTAAAGTTTCTAACTTTTGAACCGTAAGTCGGAGCGGAAAACTTCTGCTGGGAGGCGACTGGCCCACGATTAGTAGATAATGTTTAAAAAAAAAATTTCGAAATTCGGTAAAGTCTAAATACCGAAGTGCCTTGCTAACCCTTTTTAAATGTTGGCAAAATGTGGTGCCATTGGAGGTTGGCAAAATGTGGAGGTGAGAGATCTCGGGAACGGCTGGGCGGATTAAGATGGGACTTGGGGGGTATTAGGTAGTTGGGCAAGAGAAATTTTTTGGGGTGGGTAGTTTCGGCGCCGGACTTGAGTGCGGCGCCGAAATGGCCGGACGAAAATTTCAACGCGTTATAACGCGTTTTTGAGAACTTGGGGGTCTTGGGGCCTGGGAGTGATATTGTAGGGTTGGATGTTGGGAAGTTATAAATAAGCGGACACTAGAGTCTCGGGTGAACTTTTGGGGGTGTTTTGGGTCAAAGTGTCAATGTCGAAAAGTCGACTTTTTCTAACGTGAATTGAAACTCGATTTCGATAGCCAGATCGAAAGAGCGTCCCTTGGGGCTCCGAAAAAGGTATCATATGTTGGGGGTCCACTTGAGTCTCAAAAAGTTATAGCCAAATTGGCAAAATGTCGCAAATCTTTTTGAGACTCTAACGTCCCGGGGAAATTTTTTTAAATTATTTCGAGGACGGATTCGTACTCAGCGGGTGTCAGAGTACCATATAGGCCTATTTTTGACCCAAAATTCGAAAATTTTTTCCCTCCCCCTATTTCCAAAGGGGTACCCCTTTTGGGGAAAATTCGGGATTTTTTGGGGGACCTTAACTTTTTTTGGGATTATCGGATTGGGATGGGGTTTCTTTTATAAAATAGTCCTAAAAATTAGGTATTTTTAGAGTGAAGAAAATCTCGAAAAAATTCGAAATTGAGCCCTAGGGGGTCGAATTTCGAAAAACCGAAAATTTTCGGTTTTTCGAAAAAAATTCGGGATTTTTGCCAGCGGTTCGGGCCGCAAGTATTTTTCCTGGATAGAGCATATTTTTATGCATAAAATAAGCTTTTAAAATTTTCAAAAAAGGTTAACTTTAAGAAAGTTATGAATTTTTAAAAATTTGGGTAAATTTTTCGGCCAAAATTTTCGGCCAAAAAAATATTTTTTTCAACATGGGTAGAAATGGGGCAAATTATATATCAAACAAGAGCTCTTATCGAGGGGAATTTAAAAATATTTTTTCCAAAATTTTCTGACCCTTTTGACCAAAGTTATGATGGGTCAAAAGTTTAAGTCTGAGGTGGTACTTTGGCTGGTGGGGTACCAAAGGAGGGGCAATAAATCAAATATCGTCCGGTAAGATTGTAGAGCGTCACCTGGGGCTCCGGAAAATATATACTTTGTTGGGGGGGTGCCTCCGGCCCCCCAAACCCGGCGTTTAGTTGGATACTGTGCCTTTTGTAGCGTTGTGGGTATATATAACCAACGCCCCGAATCAACCACACCACTATATATATACTTTGTTGTTGTTGTTTGTTGGGTTTTTTGAAAATTTTCTGACCATTTTGGCAAAAGTTATAAATGGTCGAAATTTTGGGTATGGGCGGTACCGTACCCAGTGGGGTACCAAAGGAGGGGTAATTAATTAAAAAGACTTACGTTATATTGTAGAGCAACCTCAAATCCATCGAAAAATATATACTCTGTTTGGAGGGTCACACAGTATCCAACTAAACGGTCACAGTATCCAACTAAACGCTGGGTTTGGGGGGCCGAAGGCCCCCCAAACGCCCCGAATCAACCCACCACAGATACCAAAAGTCACAGTATCCAACTAAACGCTGGGTTTGGGGGGCCGAAGGCCCCCCAAACGCCCCGGATAAACCCACAACGCTACAAAAGGCACAGTATCCAACTAAACGCCGGGTTTGGGGGGCCGGAGGCACCCCATACGCCCCGATTCAACCCACCAAAGCTACCTCAAGGCAAAGTATCCTTAAAACGGTGGGTTTGGGGGGCCGTAGGCCCCCCAAACGCCCCGAGTCAACCCACCAAATCTACCTAAAGGCAAAGTATCCGTCTTAACTCTGGGTTTGGGGGGCCGAAGGCCCCCCAAACGCCCCGAGTCAACCCACCAACACTACCAAAAGGCACAGTATCCGTCTTAACGCTGGGTTTGGGGGGCCGAAGGCCCCCCAAACGCCCCGAATCAACCCACCACATCTGCCAAAAGGCAAAGTATCCTCCTAAACGTTGGGTTTGGGGGGCCGAAGGCCCCCCAAACGCCCCGAGTCAACCCATCAAAGCTACCAAAAGGCAAAGTATCCTTCTAAACGCTGGGTTTGGGGGGCCGAAGGCCCCCCAAACGCACCGAGTCAACCCATCAAAGCTACCAAAAGGCACAGTATTCAACTAAACGCTGGGTTTGGGGGGCCGAAGGCCCCCCAAACGCCCCGAGTCA